ATTTTAACAATGGTTCAGCAATAGCTGCAAAATCTTTTATAAAGGACCTATAATATGAACAAAGTCCTAGAAAAGAAGAGAGCTTCTTTGCCGTGTTTGGAGTCGGATACTTTTGTACAGCGATTATTTTTGATTCGTCTGTCTCGATTCCTTTCTGAGATATTTTGTAACCTAAATATTTTAATTCAGGGGCTGCAAATTTGCACTTTTCGACATTAACTTTTAGACCGGCCTCATTTAATAAAGAAAACACCTGTCTTAAATCCTGTACATGTTGGTCGAGATTATCACTAGTAATAATGATATCGTCTAAATAGATAAATGTGGACTTTCCAAGAACAGGCCTTAACACAATGTCCATACATCGCTGAAATGTTGCCGGGGCCCCTGAAAGGCCAAACGGCATACGCAAAAATGCATAAGTGCCAGACTTGGTTATAAAAGCAGTCTTAGGCACGTCCTCAGGCCTAACCCCTATTTGAAAATAACCAGTCGTTAAGTCTAAAGTCGTCATATATTTGGTGGATGTTATGTTCCTTAGAAATTTCTTCAATAATAGGTAACGGATATACCGGATATTTAGTTATGGAGTTTAATTTACGGTAGTCAATTGCGAATCTCCACCTTTTTGGATGTGTCAAAGGATAGTCATTATTTTTCTTACATAAAACCACCGGGCTAGCATAACTACTTGAGATGGGCGTTATGATCTTTTTACGTAGCATATCGGTGATATGCCATTCTATAATTTTTTCCTTATTCTTATCATACCGGTATGCTTTGTGGCGAACTGGCATTGAATCTCCGGTGTCAATACTATGGTTAGTAACCTGAGTAAATCCTGGAATATCACTAAATAACGAAGCAAATTCACTTACCACTTGTCGGATTCTTCTTTGTTGCTCGTCATTAGGCAGGTGGTCAAGATTTAACATCGGCGGTTCAGCCTTTTCTTCTCGAACTGGTTTCATTGTCAGCTTAAGGGACGCTTCATTAAAATCCAGCGTTGCTTGTGCCTCTGAAAGAAAATCTATTCCTAAGATTATATGTGCTTGCAGATTCTTTACTATAAAAAACATAACCTTTACTTGTTCGTCCTTGATACGGACATACAGCGGTAATTTACCTATACACTTACATTTTTCTCCTTGCGCCGCTAACACTGTCGTATTATCCGAATTATATATGCGATATTTACGAAAATACTTCCTAAAAAAATCTTCTGCCACACAGGAACACTGCGCGCCTGTATCCAGGAGTGCGGTGGCTGGGATATTATTCACCAACACTTCAATCTTCGGAAGAGTCAAATTTTTCACCATTACTGTATTTAACTTGAAGGAAGAGGGGTTTTCGTGGCCTTCGGATTTCCGCACCCTCTCGTCAGCAGAAATCCGTTTTAGTTTAAATTATTTTTCATTTCCGTGCTTTCCTTCTTTTTTTTCCACTGGCCTTGAGACTTTTTTCCTGGATTGCTATTGAACTGTCGACGTTCGCCGGCTGTTTTTGAATGCTCGGGTTTCCTTGCCCACTGATTCGCTTTGCTTCCGTAGCCGTGTGTGCTTGAGTTTGCTGTAGTCTTGGCGCACCAAATTGGTTTCGCTGTTGATATTGGCGTCTTCTTTCAATGTCCGCCGTTCTTCTACTTTCAAACTGGATTGCTAGCTCAAATAACTTTTCCAGTGTAGTCGGATTTCTTAATTCAATAAAGTCTTGCACTTGGGGCAGTAACCTCGGCAAAATCACTTGAATTATCTCAGGATCCGGACGGTTTCCATACAAGAGTTTGAAGACGTGAATTTTTCTTAAAATAAAGCTTGAGAGATTTTCGATTCTTTGCTGATATATACTGAAAAGTTCCGTTTCTAATTTCGCACGATCCCTTACAACAGGGAAGGCTTTTAGTAGGGCAGTCTTGAAATTTTCGTAAGTATAGGTGGGACTTCCTGCTTGACCCAAGAGACTTCTGCCTATACATTTGAACCAATTAAGCGCTTGGCCCCTCAAAGCGCTGGTAGCTAAGGTAACTTTTTGAAATTCGTGCACGGGGTAGAGCATGAAGTGGTCATCCAATTTTTCCAAAAAACTGGTTACCGGTGAGTTTCCATTAAATGTTGCTTCTGGTTTCATCGAAGCGCGCATGGTCTGGACGATGTAACCAAATCCTTCCAGGGCGGCAGCTGGCATTTCTGGATTCTGAGCCGCTTCTGCAGGCAGCACAGGTTCTTCTTGAAACTCGGCCATGGTTATTCTTCTTCGTTGGGCGCCACTATCAGGTTCAATGTTCCGTCTTACTTTCTTTGGGAACATGCAAGGACCTGACTCGGAACAGAGAGCTTACTAAAGCTATGTTCAATAACTGTGGGAAGTAGACAGGAAGGATACACAAGAAGGGTATACAAAACCCTTTATTTTTCTCACTTTACAATAATTTCCGTACTTCGGAATACAAAGACCCACTACTTGTGGTCTAAACGTAAGAAATAAAAAATAACTAAACTCTAACTTAACTTTGAAAATAAAACGTGGAAAATTGGCCTTATATTAACAGAAAGCCGTATGTAGTACAGAGAACTGTGAACACTACAATACGTTTAAAGTTATCAAGAGGATTAAAACCTCTGGCCTGGAAGGCAACCAGTAACTGAGTAAAACTTCTAAGGTAAGCGGCCTGCTTCGACTAACTGCTTCCTCTCTCTCGCTTGGCAAAAAGCACCAACTTAAATACTTGGCGTTCGCCAGAGAAACTTTGCATAAATAAGTTAACGCTTATAATTCTGGCCGGAAGTAGAAAATAATAAGTGATAGTAAAGATTTAAAATAAAATAAACGTTAGTAAAACTTAAGATCCTTACAGGTTTAACATTCCTTGCATTCAAAAATTTAATCACAGCACGAATCTCTCAGTCAGTGGGAGAACTAATTGTTTTAAACATTTTGAATGTGCACAGCAAACTGAAAACACAACATAGAGCAACCAAAATGGCAACAATTGAAAGTCAGTGAACAAGAAAGACTAGTGCGCATGCACCGGATACCTACCACAGCACTGCGACGGCGCTAGAATGAAACGGTACTTAGTTTCCGAATACGCTACGTAAATTGAACTTGGATTGTTTTACCTAAACTAAATTTAACTTCATCTTATGTGAATTTAAATACCTGCAAATAGTGGAAGTTCATTTGTGGCACAAGTGTCATGTTGAAAATCTATTTAATATTATCTTTGTTTGATGCAATTCATAACATTAAGAATGGCAACAGTGGAGTTTTTTATATTCATGTTCTGAAGTTTTTTTTTTTTTTTTTTAATTAGAAAATGAGAAAAATGGCTTGCAGTTGCTTATCATGTGTATTTCAGAATTAATGACTATTACCTTATGCCATTTATATTTTCAGTGTTGTTTTGAGATGTCAAAGCTACAGTTGTCACTAGTTGGGATTTGCCAAATAAACTGTTTTGTCTTGTCACAACATGTTTCACTGGATAATTTATTATCCAGTGAACACTTTACTTACACTTCCATCACTAATTACACTCACTTCCATCACTAATTCTTCTGATATGCTAAAGTAAAACAGAACTACAAGTAATGCTTTCTGTTAAGTTAGAAAGTTAAACAGATGACAGTCATCTGAATTCAGGCTAGAACAATAACACAAATTTTGGAATAAAGAGGGAAAGTATCCAAATTAAAAAGAGGAGTTTAGGAAACTGTAATTTATATTACATGCATTGATCGAGTCACAAAATTGAAATGAAGATTTCAATTTCTCATACACTTCTAAACTCAGTTACTTATATACTCCTAAACTCAAAGTTACTTATATACTTCTAAATTCAAAGTTGGTCAGAATTATTTTTAATAAAAAATATATGCATTAGATTGGTCATGTCACAAAATCTGAAATGAAGATTTCAATTTCTTAATCTTTTGAAATAGTTCAACTTCTGAAGGAATAATTAAACTCTAAATCATTTGATAAATAACTCTAAACTCTGTCTGAAATAAAATCGAGAGAAAAATATTAGCATTATTTTTTAATGTAATTTCATGTTTTTATATTTACTCTGTGCTTATTCTGATGGCCACTATATACTCCAAAACTAAAATGATCACATTAATTGGCAGAAATGGAATTATTACAAATTAGTTTGCTACTCTAGCAATAAGCATATGGCAGTGGCAGACAGCTTGAAACCAATTAAATGATTACATACATAATATAATTTGAGAAATTTAAGATTAATAAAAAAACATGGCATTGTATGAGTTATCTTTTAAAATTCAATTATATTTTGAAAATTAAACTACTGTTTCCTGTAAGCAAACAGTCTTTAGAGATTAAAGAGCCACAGTTTGGCCCTGGCTGCTATATCTAACGACTATCCTAAGTCATGCTTTCTAGCTACAAAAAATGGAAGATGAATTCCATCAATCAGCCCATTAGAATGAAAGATATAGGCCCCCTCTAACCCTACCTATCAACAGGAAGTGCACATTCCTTGACAAATTCAAAAGGATTACCTTTATTTCTATGCGGATAAGAAATAACACATGTGTACATACATTGAAGAGATACCTGACTCCACTTAGATGAGTCAAGGTCCAGAAAATCCACTTCGCTCAATAATTAAATTCTATCTAGGCCAAAAGCATACATGCATCTTCCCGCTACCATTCTCCCCACCCCTGTAAAAAAAACTGATACCCCAATCTAAGAAAATTACTTTTGTTGGATACAATAAAGAGTCTTAAATAAGACTTTTCCATCAAATTTACTAAAACATCGAGAAACACGTTCAATGAACACTCTACAACCAACTTTTATTAATTAACAAATTTTTGCTGTTAACAAACGAAGGTAATTCACATGAGTAAAGATATGTTACATAATAGAGGATAACAAAATGAGCCTGACTGCCTTTAGCCAAAAATTTTACCGAACATTCCTACGTGCTATAAAGTAAGGTACACTATAAAGTAAAAGCAGTTTACCTTCAATAAATTGTCTTGGTTGACATGCTTGTACATCATCAAACTGTGTTTCAATGATTTGCTCTATTTCTGTAAGTTGTACATCCATTATCCCTGTTTTACCCAAACATTCTTTTACAGAGCCAATTTCCATTTTAGTAGAAGGAGCTGAAGCTTTGTATTTATTTTCCTCAGATGTAATTACGATTTCATGCTTGGTCTCACTCTCAGCAGTTTCAAAATTTCTCTCTTCTTGACTGGAGGGTTTATTCATATTTTCTTTGAATTCAGAACTGCTTGTGGTAGAATAGATATTTTCTATATCTCTTATCGGAAAATCACATCTTCCTGTAGAAGATTCCCCATATAATGCATCCCATTCTTCATCAGAAGCTCTTTCATTGTCAATATTATCACTTTCTTTAAATTTCTTAAAAGCTACTTCTTTCTTCTTTTGCATAGCACTTATCAAATGCTCTTTCAGATCTGAAAACTTCATGCCTAAAAAGAAAGTACAAAAATATAATATTAACATCTATTCTTTAAAAATAGCAAAAAGTAAAATTTTTTTGAAGGAATGTGTCACTGAGATACATACATATTAAAAAATGTAACTGCTAGATACAGAAACAAAAATCTTGTCGTGTACTTTCCCCAATTTATTTCTTACCATATAATATACCATTATGCTGCTTTTAACGAGATAAGTATCTGTAAAGATCAGCATTTCTCAAAGCTTTTACAAGTGAGGATCACTCTTATAAATAGGAATGAACTATCTTATTTCCGTCCCTCTTGAAAGTAATTTTTTAGCATATACAGTGGAGAGACAAAAATATGGAAACACCTTGTGAAATGCATGTTTGAAAAGAAAGATTGATTTTAATGAAATATGTAGGTGGCGCTGGCGTTTTTGACTACTGACGCCACCTATACAACTTCGTAAATGTGCTACACAGTTCAGTTGTTGTCGGAGTACTGTTATGTGAGGTTGTCATTGCATTATAAGATTATACCCCATTATAACAGACTTATATACCCATTATAACAGACTTCGAATGTGGGAAAATTGTTGAGCACGTATGGTAGGTGCTTCCGTAAGCAAGGTAGCCGAGGTGTTTAGTGTTTCAAGGGGTACTGTATCGAAGATTTATTCTGCATATTTGAAAAGCGGAAAAACATCTGCTAAATCACAGCGTGGACGAAAGTGTGTCCTGAGTGATCATGACAGACGATCATTAAGGACAATTGTGACGAAAAATAAGAAGACCACAGCTGCAAAAGTTACTGCTGAAATGAATGTTGTGTTACCGAACCCTTGTGAGTACCAAAACAACTTTGAAGGGAGCTTCATAAACAGGGAATTGCTGGCCGTGCTGCAATTGAGAAGCCACTCATCAGTGATGCTAATGCCCGTAACAGGAAAAGGTGGTGTTTATGTCATAAAGCCTGGACCATAGAGCAGTGGAAGCGAGTAATATGGTCTGACGAGTCTTCTCTCACGTTGTTTCCTACTTCTGGCCGAGTTTACGTCTGGAGAACGCCATCTCAAGCCTATAATACAGACTGCTTGTTGCCAAGAGTGAAACATGGCGGGGGTTCTGTTATGGTTTGGGCAGCCATATCGTGGTTCTCTGCTAGCCCCATGATAACTGTGTCAGGGCACATGACTGCCAAGACTTTTGGCCGATCAAGTTCATCCCATGGTACAAACTTTGTTCCCCAATGGTGATGGTGTCTTCCAAGACGACAAAGTCCCTGTTCACACAGCTCACATTGTCCAGGACTGGTTTTGTGAGCACGAGGATGAGTTGACCCATCTCCCCTGGCCACACAGTCACCAGACCTGAATATTATCGAACCTTTGTGGTCTACATTGGAAAGGTAAATTCGTTCTTGTTATCCACCGCCAACATCGTTATCTGAACTTGCCACCATTTTGCAGGAAGAATGGTATAATATTCTCTTGGCAAACATACAGGAACTGTATTTATCCATTCCGAGAAGACTGCAAGCTGTTTTGGATGCCAATGGGTTTCCTACACCATATTAAGCAAAGAAACATGTTTTTTTAAAGGTGTTTCCATATTTTTGTACAACCCCTGTATATATATTTAGCATACATATATATGTTATATATTTTAAATACAATTAAAAAATGCATTTATATTTACCATGATATTAAGTAATTAATGCAAAAGAAAAAATTATATATGCTTATAGTCTAATTTTTATTTTACTAATTACACATTAATGGGGCTGATGAGCTGATTGACGTTTGTGTGTATGCTAAAATGCACAACATTAATAACGCTTTAAACCCTTTTTGCTAAGACTAGACCGTAAAGACCATAGGTAGGACAATTGACAAAAATTTCTTAAAATGCCAGTCTTGGAAGAAAAAGTGTTAAACGACCCCCCATGTGTAATTTGCAAACTCTGGGATTTTTCAGCTATAGTGTGATATACACAATCTATACTATTATTTGCTGTCTTTTTGGAAATCTAGGACAACAGCAGCTTTCAATAGCCATTTGTGCACAACGAACTATATGTTGGAAAACGCTAGTGTAGAAGATTAATATGTTATGCTGGGTGTTAAAAAAAATGTGGCAACTAAAGGCTTCTTTTTCCTAAGAACTGATACTAGATATATACCCCTTACTGCAAAACTTGTAAAATTAAAGTGGAAAATTTTGTGAAAACAGTTGGAGCACTGTTGGTTGAAAGGGGTGCATGACAATAAATTCTGGGGTTATACAATGTCCCTTAGGTAGAAAAAGTCTAATTACTAAAATGAATCGCAGTTTTGCAAAAAAAAGCTCTACCCTCACAGGAAGTGTACGTTCTATGAAAGTAAATCAAAGGTTGTACATTTCCACTTGTTAAAGTCCAACTCATAAAAAGAATCAGAATTTTATCAAAACAGCAATATATATTTGCCTCTTTAACAAAAAGGGTAATCGATAAAATGTTCAATATTAATACATTTAATACAAAAACTGTCATATCTTGTTGCAAACTCAGCCGATAGGGGGCGATAGTGAGCCCTTGAATTTAAAACTGATTTGTTTACTTTTATCTTTAGAATGTAGTTGATATGTAAGATGTGTCTTGTCAAGTGAATTGTTCTTTGTATAATGCGTAAATAAAGAATTAAAGGCTAAGTAATTTTCAATTACTCTCTTTAGAAGCTCAGAAGATCAAGAACCAGGTAAGATATATTATTTATATCCAATTTGTTTTATATTTACGCATAAAATTCATTGAGATACTCAAGGGAAAAAATAATGATTTGGACTGATATTTATTACTGATGTATACTTGCACCATTCAACTGAATTTAGAAGAGATGCAAAACAAAGGCTCATGAAAGAACTCATATGCAAAACAAAAGCTACAGTCTTTAGTAATTAATGGTTCTTAGTAGGGGCTACATCACTCAACTTTGAACTTCATGAAAATATTAATTACAGTCACCACAAATTGTATACATAAAAATGCCAATTCCTGTATTTAAATATCTAGGAAACAAAGAGCATATCTAGGAAGCATCTGGAGGGCGACCAAACATGAACCACAAGGCAGATGAAGGTGCCAACTAAAGAGCATCTTGGATGTGGAATAGCAGACAGTCTAGAGACAGCACTGTGATAGAGCAATAAGAACACAGGTAACTTCTGGTCTCAGTCCTGCTGGTTTTGGGAAACAATCAGAAAGCAGTTGTTAAGGATGGTTATATTAAATCTCTATACCATGCTGTCTGACTGCGGATATAAAGGCATCATTTGGGTTTTGTCTATGCTGAGTACTCTACAGAGATCTTTAATTACAGTCAAGAAAAAATTCCTTCCTTGATCAGAATGTAACTGAAGAGGCACTCCAAACCTGGAAATCCAATGCTTGATCAGAATGTAACTGAAGAGGAACTCTGAACTTGGAAATCCAATGCTGTATCATTACCTCTGCTACCCTGACAGCCTCTTGATCAGGGATAAGACACACTTCAGGCGACTTTGTAATTGTTGCCTTCAGCAAATTGTGGCAGATGTTAAAGGATGTCAAAGGCAATACATTCAAAAGGGGCTCCTACACTGTAATGCTGCAGCTCCTCCCAGCTCCGTTCCTTCAGGCCTTTCCGGCCCATACAGGTATCACAAGATTGACACCACTTTTGCACTTAAGAACTTGCATTATTCCAGTAGAAGTGCTCTTGAACTCTATTACTTCAAAGTAGAATCCAGTTGGATTGCTATCTTGTTCTTTAAACATGTCCACTATCCAGGATCTTGGAAGCCTTTCTTTCGTCCGATTCAAGCTTCTAGTACAAGACCCGTTTCGAACATGAAGTGAGTAACAGAGCCTAATACTGTTTCGGGGAAGCATTATGGATTAAAATGTCCTGCAAGTAGGTTTCCTATTTGAAAACTCCATTAAATGAATTATTATTGGTTTAATGTCATCGTCTTCCAACTGTTCTCTCCTGATGACTTCATCATTTCACCTGCTCAATCAATCGACGCTAACGATGTAACTTGACATACAACCGAATTGACCAGCTCGCACTTCGCTTTGGCACTTCAACAATATCAGCAGCATTCTGGGTACGGTCTTCTAAATAGGGCATCGGAGTTTCTGTGTGGCGATTCTTTATGATGACGGATAGATTGTGCATCCATCTAGCTATTTGGCTTTCAGGATTTTTGAAATTTAACAGCCAGGTCAGCAATGATTGATCTGTACAAAGCAAGAATTTCCTGCTGTAGAAGTAACACAGGAAACGTCCTACACCTTTAAATATGGAGAGCAACTCTTTTCTGGTGACGTAGTAAATCCTCTCCGGTTTAGATAGAGAATTACTCCAGTATGCCACAACAAATTCTTCCCCATTTATTTCTTGGAACCAAACAGCACTGACACTCATTGTTCTCATCCATGTCAAGAATTAATGGTTTCTTGAACTGAGGATATACCAGGATTGTCGCACGTGTTAAAGCCTCCTTCAGTTTGTTAAATGCATTCTCACATTCTTTTGTCCACAAGAAATTTTGCTTTTCTCAGCACATGGACACTTTCGGGCCATCTCTTGAACTGCCGAGAATTTCTCGGGATCCGTATGCACACCTTCAGAGAAGATGACAAGTCCGAGGTAACTCACTTCATGTCTGAACAATTTACATTTGGCAGGACTTAATATTGGCCTGACTTAAATTTATATTGGCTTTCTTCAATTTCTGAAGCAGTTCCTAATGCTTGCCAAAATGTTCTTCAAAACCTTTCTTGACAATAAAGATATCCATGTATGTCAGTATATTTTTTTTTTTAATTACGGCAAAGCACACTACGGCTATCTGCCTAAGGGGAGGGATGCCTTCGTGGAGGACTTTCTAAGGGAAACTGGCTCGTATACACGTTACACATGGGGAAAACCACGAAAACACCCATGCAGCCAGCCCGTTCGCGGGATTCGAACCTCGGACCGAACTACCAGTGTTCAGCTA